CCTTCCTTCCCTGTGATACTGGTCCAGGTGAAAGCTGGAGAGTTGAGAGGATGTCCTATTTGTTTTGTTTGAAAGAATGCTAACTGACATATTTAAAGCAAAGTCCACATCAGTGGCATGAAGGGAGGAAGAAAACTGTGTGAAACTTCATTTGAATTTCTGTTTTGGTGCCCTTTTTCTGTCAGGGCTACTTTAAAAACAAACAAGCAACAAAACCAACAACAAAATCCTTTGTGTTCTGACACAGACATTAAGCTCCTTTTTGCTCTGGCTTGAAAAGCAGAGACACTGATTTGGCATAAAATACTTTAAAGAAAGCAGTGAGTATTCTGATTTTGAAATATCTCTGAGTGAGTCTGAGCACAGAGTGCTGCAGAGGAAGTGCTTAGGGAAACATTGTTCATCTGGGGTTTTAGAGTCAGTTAGGAACTTGTCAGTGCTGCTTTATATATGTACAAAGCTCAGAAGTCCTGTGTTTTCCTGATTGTATTTCAGGATGTGAAATATTACACTTCATGTTGTCCCGATCACTGCTGTGCTTGTCAGTAAAATACTGTACCTTGCGTTCCCGTGCTGTGCTGGCTTGAATCACACAGGAGGAAAGCTCGCTCTGTGAATAACCTACAGCATATTGCCATGGAAGAAACACCGAAGTGCTCATAGGAATCCTGATAGTCTCTTTGCTAACACTGTGCGCAGAGTTCTTGTGGCAGCTTCAAGCAAGGGCAGGTGGGAGGTTTTTACACTGCCTAAATACAGGGCTCAAAAAAAAAAAAAAAGCTCTTCTGAGGAAGCTCTGGTTCTGAACTCTGACAATTTTGACATGCGTCTGCTAGTGCGTTCGTATTGTTGCGGTGAAAGTGAGATTAAGTGGCTGCACTATAGTTCCTTCTCACACAAGTCTTTAATGTATCCATATGTGAACATACACTGGTTTATGTACGTGGCACATTAACCAACCTCTTACTGCTTGGCCCATGGCTGTCGTACTTTTGGTTGAAAACTGGTGCCAAGTTATTTAAGAATGTCAGCTGAGATGAAAAATTCAGTATGTGAAGTAATGTCTGATCACTCTACGATTAAGCTCCTCTCTCTCTCTCAAACTTTTTCTAGTATTTGCATTAGTATTTACCCCAGCACCCTTTAAATGAAATGCTGTGTTGTATGATGCTGTATATCCCTAGCAACAAAGAAGCATTTTCCTCCATGCAGGCAAGACTGGGAATAAAATATGTGCAGCTTGAAACGCTTATCGATCAATCCACTTCTGAAAACTGCATGTGAACTTTACAAGAAGGGCAACAGTACAAGTATTGCTACACATTCTACTCTTAAATACATATAATCTTTATAGAAGAGACATTTGAACACATTTCTTTCATGTTTGTGAATAGAAAACCTATGGCTGAGAAAGTACGACTATGCAAGTTTTTTTGTAAGGCTGTAATACTCCAGAGGAATGTTTTAATATTCTCCTGCAAATTATTGTTTAAAACAGAAAAGTATCAAGATTTTACAAGCTCTGCCTCAGATCCAGTGACCATTTATAATCAGGCTAAATGGTCTTACTAGATGTCTGTGGAGAATTGAGACTGTTTTTCTCTGTAGAGTGTTTTGTAGATAATGAGGCAAACTTCCACCTTTTTATTACTCATTGGAATAATTTAATGGATGTAAATGAAATTTTCCAGTCTTAACTGAGATGATGTGTCTGCCATCTCACTCTCTCCCCACGTGCTTCAGATGTGAAGAGATTTTCTTTCTGGTTACAAGCAAGCAGAACAGAATTGTCTTGGAGACACCTGCGGAAGGGCTGCAAGATAAGCAGGTTGTGTGTCCTGTTTTACTTCTGGTTCTAACAGCAAAAATACAGAGGGATATTTGCTAAACACTTTCAACTTTCTTTAGGCTATGCAGGAGTTTCTTTCAGAATTGTCAAGAAAATCTAAAGTTCATCTTGGTGAGAGGTGTCAGTCTCCTCATGAACATCTGTCTTCTGCCAGTGGGGATTACTGAGAGCATTCCTGTGTGCTTTATCCCCATAGCAGGCTGTGTCTGTGCAAGGGTGGGCCTTTCTAGGGTATGATTGTAGGGAGTTAGGTCAGTGGTCTTCCTAGCTCAGTATTTTGTCTCAAGTAATGCAAGTAGAGTTTATCCAAGGAAAGAGGCATTTAAGCAACAAAGCATGCATACAGCGATCTTTTCCCAATTATCTCCTAATGAGCAAGAGAGTAAGAACTTCCTGAGTCAGAAGCTGTATCAAAATCATTCTTCAATAGCTATGGATCCTCCATTAATTTGTCTAATCTTTTTTTCTGAATGCCATTAAACTTTTGATTTCCACAGCATCCTGTGATAAAGAGTTTGTGATTCCATCCTGAACCTTTTTCTCCTAACGGATCTTGTCCACTGTTCCTATTTCATCAGCTGCTTAAAAGGCAGCTGGACAGAGATTTCCATTTTGGGATACGGAGAGAGGACTGAGCAGCATTTAATTCTTTGATCCTCTTGAAAACTCTGAGAACTCAGTTACGTGTTTTTCTTGACAGGCTTGCCAGAAGCTTGACAATCTCAGTTTTTTAGGTGCTTCAGCTTAGTATAATACAGTCTCATTACCCAATCCGTAAATTGAGATGAGCTCGGCTTGGCTTGAGACCCATATAGTCTACTATAAGTCACCTTTTGCAACCCATGAGGTAATCATACCCTTAAGTCTCAACTTCTGGTGAAGGATCAGGACACTTGACTGGATTAAATTTAATAAAGCTAGTGGATCTGAGCCAGACTTGCAGCTGATGTGTATGGCTGTTAAATTAGATTTGTATGCACTGATCAAATTCTTTCATTCTAGTTTTCCATGCTTATTCTGTTCAAAACCATATTAAGCTATTCACAAAACATAATGTTTTGTGCCTCTCTACAAATAACAATTTGCCACTTCCAAGTGCAGCTTATGGATTTTTATAATAATACACCTTTTTTCCCTCACTTCTGTTTCTTCAATCTCGGTGCCTTTGGCTGTGTAAGAAAGAAAGAAAGGAGCCTGTTACTGCAAAAAAGAACTTAACTGTATTTGTCTGAAAGTGATTTGGAAACTTGTACAGCTTTATCTCAAGTTTCAAATAATCACTGCAGTCAGGAGGATTACACACACTCTTCTGGTCAGCTTTATAACCATAGAAAAAGAGCAATCTTGATACAGGTAAGATGACCTTTTTTGGCTCACGTGGTGTATCACAGGAGGCTGTACTGACATTCTCAAATCTCTCTCTTGTACTTTGTAGACAATTAAGACTGCTGAAATAACAGATTTTCTTGACCAGCTGTTCTTTTTTTCCATCTAGGAAAAATTTCCATTTATCTTGTATTAAAATACAGCCAACCCTGCGACAGTTCCCTTTGAAAAATACTGGCTTGCAGTATTGTTTAAACTTAGTCTTGACTCTTCAAGTCAAAAAGGAGAGTTTCGTTACCAGTTAGTATAGATGGGCTTCTGGGTGAGCTGGCTGGGTGTAGTATGCATGGTCCTTTGGTCAGCTGGCAAAGCACACTTGCAGGAGAAAGTCACACAGATGCGAGGGGTGTTAGGGAACTTCAGGGTATTGCAGTGAGCATATTCCACTTGATACTGAGTTATGCTTTACAGATATTCTTGTAGTATAAAGCTAAAATTGCCACTTAAAAAAAAAGTGCGCATAAGGAAGAAGGAATCTTGCTTTGAAGCTGTTGAAATCACTTCTGGGAAAGCTTTTAAAGTTGATATTCGTGCCTCCTCCCACTTCTCAACAGAAAAACACTTTTGTCCTGTTTTGCAAAAGAAAATCATTAGGATACTTAACTGTTTACACAAATCTTAAGAGAAGGCATACTATGTGCCAAAATAAGTCTGTACACTGCAGTGTGGAGAAACCATGAAGAAAACCGGAGTTTGATGTTTGAGCAATGTTCCATTACATGCCCTGAAACTACAGTGCATATAGTTTTCTTTCCAGCAAGCACTTAGGTTTTAAAAACCAGAGATGGAAGTTGGACAGATGGACATTTAGACATGTGCTCGGACGCCTACTATATGTTTTTTAAACATTCTGCACGATTGGTACTGTATCATGCCAAATATGCAGTGGTGATGTTGGGAGACAGAGTGCTTATTCTGCCTGTTCTGCTTGTTTCACTGATCCTTAGCATGGGCTTTGTATGGAAACCCTGTAGTATTTGGAGGGAAATGATGCACTCTAAATTATTCAGTGGAGCAGAGAATACAAGGATATAACAAAATCAGGTGCTGTTCTCTTTTCCGTCATGGGGAAAAGACACTGTCTTTTGAATTTGGTGCTTTTGAGTCTGTTGGAGGAGAAAGGGACTGTAACTTCCTTTAAGAAATACAAAAACATTCAGTATCAGAAAGGTTATAAAATGTTGGCTTCAGGGTTTTTAAAAATTCTTACTCTTTTAGACCAGTATTGTTTTTATTTTTTTTTTTTCCCCCAGAAATCATGGTTTATATTATATTTAAACAGCTTTCTGTGTTTCTGTGGACAACATTGCTAAAACCGATAGTACATGTGTATTTAGCACTTTCTTTTCATCACTTTCTTTCACTGGGAGAGAGCTGTGAGGACAGTTGTTTTGTGCAGGTGGTGGTAATACAACAGTAAAATAACGTGTTGCTTGACTGTGGAGTTTGCTTTGAGTCTGACAAGCTCAAAAAGAACCTTACTTGCTTGATGCTGAGAAAGTGACATTTATTGCGCCTACGACTCCTGTGTGGAACATCCCTGAATGAGCTGTGCAAGTTTTAAATTCTTCCGGTTACAATGGTTGAGTTGTAAAATAAACAACTACATACATATTTTAAAACTCTCGGTAAGCTCCCACAGTCCTGATGAAATTGATTATCCAACAGAGAGGATGAGTCAATATGTATGTTAAAAAAAAAAAAAAAAAAAAATCCATAAATTTATAGTTCCTGCTCTGATATATTTTTATTTTTTTTCCTTTAGTTCCTTGGCATAGCATTTCTTGGGATTGGATTGTGGGCATGGAATGAAAAGGTAAGTTGAATATAGCACCAAACTCCATGTTTTTCCTCATTCTCTCTCTTTTTCTGATGAAATATTGGAATAGTAATATGCTGCACATTTTATGTGTCCCCACACAGTTTCTACTGAAACAAAATCAAGATTCTCTGTCAAATAAAACCTTGGCTCAGCTCACCTAGAGGAAGATCCTTGGCATCTTTCCCAAGAATGCCTTGGCAGAAATCATGGCTGACACTTGCACATAAAATAACCATTTCAGTCCATGCACGCTCAAACTGCAGCTCAGATACTGGAATACTCTACTGAAGGCAGTGTTGGCAGCGTGTCCCCAGGAATGGAGAGGGGAGCCTACGTGTCTCAGAGGGCAGCTTCCTGAAAATAAGCCTCCTCAGCTTTGCCTTAACATAGCATGCTAATTGCTGTTCCTCTTAAACAAAACAAAACAAAAAAAAACCACACCAAAAAAACCACACCAAAAAACGCCCCCAACCCAAAAACAATAACAAAAAAAACCAAACCCAAAACAAAATGAACCCTGAAAACCAAGCCAAACCTGAGACAGAATAACTGTTGGTTTTTCTTGTGCAAATAAAACTGTCTACTGGAACACTCTGTGTTGCAAGACTGTAAAATCAACTTGGAAATGGGAAGAAAGGGGGGTGGGGAAAGAGAAAATATTTATGAACCAAAGCCTAAATTTTAGTTCGCTTGCTACAGAAGTTGGGAGGATGATAAAATGTCAAGACATAATACACAAAACAAGTCAGTATGTATTGGGTTACTGGATGAAGAGTTTGGCTCGCTAAAAGACAACAGCTAAAATTAAAGCCAGAGTTTCCTTTTCTTCTTTGTTTAAAAGATTGAAAATAATAAAATCTTGCTGATAACAATGGTGCTATGATATTCAGTTACATAATGTTTTTTTCTTCTTTTAATGGAAAACACCAAGTAAGTTACAAATTGATGTTCACTAAAGGCATAATAACTGGCACTTGCAGCAGAACAAATAACACATTGGAAGCACTGGAGTTTTGCCACTTAAAATCAGGACAAATTTTGCTGGTTCAAAAGTGAGTTGTTATCTTAGATTCTAATTGCACTGTGCGTGTGCCTTGGATATAGATAATTACAAATAGTAAAGGGATATTAATTAACTCACACTGTATACACCTATATATATGTATATTTACATACCATATGATACTCATGTTGGATGGGTTGAATAGGCTTGGAAAGAGGTGCTGTGATTTTTTTTTTTAATTCAGCAGAGATGTAAAAACATGTTATATTATATTCAATACTCTGAGCATACTCACAGAGCTTATACCTATGTCTAAGCCCCAGAGAAGAACTTTATTTCGGAGTGGCTTTCTAGAAGAGATTTTAACATTTTTTTTTATCGTTTCAGTAAGTAACATAAATGATTCCTCTTTAGAATGAATGAGCAGGTAAAGAGAAAACAGCTATGGTCTAGTGTTTGATGTCTAAAATACACCAGTCCTACAGCTAGAGGGTGTTCTGGCAGAACAATGGTTTTACATATTTTCCTATATGGGAAAGCACCCCCCCTTCCTAGGAAATTAATAATTGCTAACAGCCAGAAGCCAAAACTCAAGTTTTTACTTGAGATTTGGACATCTGTTATCAAGTCATCTTAAACCATTTTTAATCAGATCCTGAAGTGGGAGAAAATGCTATGTTGTTTTTAAGACAAGCAAATAAAACCACCTAGAGCAGTTTAATATGTATTAGCTCAGGCTCTATATGTAGTAGGTTTTTATATAGAAATTAATAAATAAATAAAATACCATTTATTGTTTTAAAGCACAGGTCTTTCCTTGAAAATGAGCGTCTCTCCCCAGCTTCTTTAGCTGTTGTGTCCTGCGGTGCTTATTGTCGACTGTTTCAGTTCATGTGGTTGTATCAACCAAAATGTAGTATAGGTATAGCTGAACTGCAGAGCTCTTGAGCACAGACAGACTTGATTTTTGTAGCAGGAATTATGGAAAAATGGACTTGGGTCAAGCCAATTTGAGACCTTTCTTTCACTCAGTTCTCCAGAGGACAGGCAATGGCCAGAAGCTGCAGTCAGCAACATCAAGTTCCAGATACTTATAGGCCCCATGCAACTTAGTGGGGGCTAGATCAGTTACATCCCAGAGAGAGTTGTTCTTGCTGCAGCTGGGGAGTTGGAGGCAAAGGCCAAGTAGGTGAGAGATCTGTAACTTAACTGGAAAGGACTTCTCTAGCTAGATTGCTTCTTGCCTAAGGCTAGCCTGGATATCCCTTAGGCATAATGGGCTGTTGTAATGGTATACTGTAAGACAGCAAAGCAGCTTTGAAGAGAAGGACCTGGGGGTCCTGGTGTACACCAAGTCGAACATGAGCCAGAACTGTGCCCTTGTGATAAAGAAGGCTAACGATGTCCTGGGCTGTATTAGGAGTGTTGCCAGCAGGTCGAGGGAGAAGATTCTTATCCTCAACTCACCACTGGTGAGGCCACAGCTGGGCCAGTTCTGGGCTCCCCAGTACAAGAGAGACACTGACATACTGAAGAGTCTAGCAAAGGGCTGCCTAGATGATTAAGGGGCTGGAGCATCTCTCCTACAAGGAAGGGCTGAGAGAGCTAGGACTGTTCAGCCTGGAGAAGAGCAGGTTTGGGGGAATCTTAATGTATATAAATATCTGAAGGGAGAGTGCAAAGAGGATGGAGCCAGGCTGTTTTTAGTTTGTGCCCAGTGACACAGGCGATGGGCACAAACTGAAACACAGGAAGTTTCCTCTGACCACCAGAAAATGTTTTGTGGTTTTTTTTTTTTTTTACTGTGAGGGTGACTGAGCACTGGCATGGTTTGCCCAAAGATGATATGGAGTCTCCCTCTTGGGAGATACTCAAAAGCAGTCTGGACACAGTTCTAGGCAGCCAGGTCTAGGTGACCAGATGACCTCTAGAGGTCCCTTCCAACCTCAACCATTCTGTAAAGACTGCTGCTGTCCCAATGAACTAAGTCTTTATCAAAGTTGAACTTGGTGCTGCTATTGTATAATGTGTAAACATAAATTTATAAGGGTTTTTTGCAGGATTGGGTCTTCAGAAGGACTCCTCTACTGTAAACTGATTTGGTGGTGGGGAGGATTTTGATTTACTTCCATCTTGAATCGTATGGCTTTATATCTATCTGTGTTGTTTTATAACCCGGCCATCAACTTGTACGTACTATTGCTGCTTCACAGAATCATTTTAAGATAAAAAGATGGGGTGCCAGGCCACATTAAAAATGCAGGATGTAAAGAAATAATCCACATTTCACAGGAGTCCAGTTTGCCGTTCGCTAAAAACAGTTTGGGGTAGATTTGTGGGTTTGGTGGCTAGTTTCTCTTTTTTGCTAAGTTGGCTTGAATTCTTCCCTTTAAACTTTGTGGTAAAGAAGGAAAAAAGCACGCTATACAGTCTTGTGACCTTCCTTACAGCCTTTGCAGGGAGGTGAAAGAGCTCATTTGCCAAATAGGCAATAGAATTGGCTTGACAGCCAGTCAGCCAGCCCTGAACAAAACCTGGGCAATTAGCATTCTGAGTCATGAACCTCAAAGAGAGCTGGGGGGTGGGGTGGGGGCAATAAACTCAGAGGATGAATAAAGCTATCTATACATGGATGTACTATATAGCTCTCAATCTCTCAGTGTTTTCAGGCACGCTAGACTTGGGCTTGTACCATAAAAAAGTTCATCCATGGCAGCTGATTTCCACCCCCCCACCCCCCCAACAGTGACATGAACATTGTGAACATATAAAGAGTCTGTACTAAAGAGTCTGTACTAAACCCAAGCAACTTATACTACCTTTGCTCAGCAGCAGGGGAAAAATGTTTATATTTCACTGGCTTTTTTAACTACTTCAAGTCATTACTTCTGTTGACTTTTTAAAAATAAACTAGACTCGTACAAAATATCTATTTTCCTCCTTGGTTGTATATATTGGATAATGTGGTCTTAAGGCTCTTTGGGAGTGTTCATGGTATGATGCCAGTAGGTACTTGGGAAAATAAGCTTCCTGGTTGTCTCACTACCTGCAGGAGATTTATATTCAAGAGCAGTGAGACTAAGTGTTGAATTGCTGCTATGTCTTCTGAGACCTTATAAGACTGTCCATGGAGAGGGAATTTTTAGAAGGAAAGCTGGTTTATGGTATACTTTAATATTAAACTTATTACTGGTTTTGGGGTATACTTTAAGTAGGAGGTAGCAAAGGTAGTGATACTAAAGTTGGTGGGTGGGGGGAAATCTAAGATCCTTGCAAAATTTGTCAGTTAGACTTTGTTCATGTGTAAGGTTGACTGAAATAAAGAGGAAGAAGTGGAAGAGGTTGATTATGTGCATAAATTTGGTTTCTAGGTTTTTCTTGTTAAATCAGCGTAACTAGAAGACACTCCAGCTCAGAAGTCAAGTTGTGCACAGTTTGGGGTGCCAGTATGGTACCTCTGTGGGCCAGCATAGTATTCTTAGCAAGCAGGAGCTCTAAATCTGGATCTCAAGTTTTAAGCTAGACTTTTACCTGTTGATATAAGGTGATTTAGGCCTAGTTTGGTGTTCTGGGACAGGCTAAACTCCGTACATAAAACCAGTCACAATTTCTCAGACCAAGTCTGTCTCTCCTTGCCCTGAAATGAAAACGACAGTTGTTTTCAGGAAAAAATTCTCACTTCTTTTACTGTCCCAGTGAGTGGCAGACATCAAGAGGGAGTGATACTCGCTTCATAATTGTTGTGTATACATGTCTATTGCATAGTTCATTTGAAAACAATTGCTGACAAGGAAACCGTGCACATATCCTGTGGGTCCTTATGGGCTGAAGGATACCCAGAGCATATATCTTGCTTCTAAGCCAGGGCTCTGTGTGTGGATTTTAAAGGACTGGGGAGGAGAGAGAGGGATACTAATATTCGCTGTTACATTTAATTTAAATTTCAGTACGTAAAGATGCATTATCTAAACAGGCTTTTAAAAAGTTTTAG